TAGTAGTAGCTTTGTAAATTTCTATATCTAGTAGTTATTTTTGTAACTACACTATAGCAATCTATATTGTAACTATTCCAAAATTACTAATAAAGATATGAGCAAGGCCTCACCTTAAAACTAAAAAAAAAAAAAAACAATTTGCAATGGTAAAAATAACAATTTCTAAAAAAAATTATTAAAATTAATTTAATAGTTATTAAGATTTTTTTACACAAAATTAAAAAATGGTATAATTTTTATTATAATAAATATAGTTAATCTTCTTTAAATACAATTTGTACAAATACTATAAAAATTTAAAAAATCTGTATTTAGAAAAGTATTGTATTTAGAAAGATAAAAATCTATAATTATATATATAATAAAAATACTTCAAGACTATGTATTTATAGAGATTTTTTCTAAAATATATATTTAAAAAAATTGTATTTATAGAGATCTGACTATATTTTAAATTTTTAAAACTTTAAGCAAAGATATTTTGATAATTACTAAGTTATTTTTAATAAATTTTTTTATTTAAATTTTATAAATTTATAAAATTTAAATAAAAAAAATTAAATAAAAACATAGATAAATTTCAAATATAATAATTAGCAAATAATTTGCAAACAAAATCTTTAAATAAACAATAACTAACAACTCTTTTTGATAATTTCTTGGTTAATAACAAGAAAACTGAACTACAGTAAAAATATATAGAAAAGCAACTAAGCAAATACTATTTTTAGTTCTATATGAAATAGTTTATTGTTGACAAAGACTAAGTTAAATGTAATATATTAAAAAGCAGGCATTTTCTAATAGTTTTCTAGAAATTAAGTTTTTTTTAAATAGATTTCTCAAGATATTTGTATCCAAACTAAAAAGATTATTCTAAGAACAGAAGAAGCAACTTCTTGTTAAGTCTAGTAAAAACTTAGAAACTAGAATATATAACTATAAAATTTACAAAAATAATTTTATATATACTTATTAGACTACTACTTTTTTTCAAGAAAATTTTTATAAAAAGTAAATATTTCAATTTATTTTTTTTAAATGATTGATATTATATATACCAAAATAGTCAATATTGTTTATCTTCCAAATCAGATTGAATATAACTAAATAAATCTTCTGGTTATTATCTACTAGCAAATAGTAATAATATACAACAGTAGCAACAAATATGTGCTCTGCATATACTTTAAATGCAAGAATATCTGTATATACAATGCTTTGAAATTTAGCTCTGATTTTTTTATAATAAATATATCAATAAAGTTTTTCTACTAGATTTTTTTTAAATATACTAATTAGATAAATTTAAAATAAAGTATAGTTTATATAGTAGTATATAATTTTTATAAGCCTAATACAGATTTATAATTATGATTATTAGAATAAACAAATTTTATTTTCTTATTACTTCTTTTATTTCTTTCTTTTTTTGTATATTTTTTCTTTTATCAAAACTTTTTATATCTCAGTTTTTGTTTTATTTTAGTATTTTTTTTAGTTTGTTTTTGTATATTACACCTTAATGAGTATATAGCTACTAGCAGAGAAATGGGCTCAAATGCAGTATAGCTTACCCTACCCTAAAATTTAGAGTATGTACTCTAAAAATTGGGGTATATACTTCAAAAAATAGAGTGTATACTTTAAAAAACTCTGTCTAGCCTAGGTTATACAAAAAAGATTCTAGACTCTAAAAATAGAGATCACGTGACATATAATATATTCTAAAAATAGAGTATGTATCTAAAAAATGGTGCATATACCCTAAAAAATAGGATATATACCCTAAAAAATAGAGTATATGCTCTAAAAATTGTATAAAAAAGGGTATATAATAGTATTATATATATATGCACATGAGTCCCCTGTGATAATTCTGGCCAAAAATTGGTATAATGCTAGTAAAAAGGGTAAGCTATACTACATTTTAGCTGAGAAATGAAAGAAAAAAATTTCTAGTAAGTTAAAGACCCTAAGTAAAGCCAAAGGCTACTGAAACAGGTATTTAATAGGCTATGGGTATGTTTTGTTTTCAATTAAATTTGCTATGATTATAGATAAAAAGTTCTTTGAATTTTTTAAATAGTATAAATTTTAAATAAAACAAGAGCAAGATTGCTAAAATACAAAAAAAATAAGTAAACAATAACTAAAATTATATATATGCTAATTATAATCTTGTTAATATATAAAATATAATACCCTTCCTATAAAGTAGGATTGTTAATACTTAATAAATTAATAATTTACAAGATCTTTCTATAAAAAAAATCTTTGTTATTAATTATATTATTTATATTGTGTTATCATTAGTTAAGGATGTTCTATAGAATAGGTGAGCAAACTCTGTAAGCTTCACAACTCTGATATTAAAAAATTAATGATTACTAATCATTAGTGAAATTTATTTCTTATTTTGCCCACCTATTCTATAGAATATTCTCAATGAATATTATTTTATATTCTTGTTTAACATATTATTTAATTTTATGTAATCAACCAAATCTTATAATTAGAAAATGATAATGCAAACAAAATTTTTAAAATTCATTAAGGTTAGAGTTTAGAGTCAGAGTTAAGAACTAAAAAAAAGTAATTTTAATAGTAAAATTGTCTAATGAAACCTTTTTGTTAGTGATTTCTTATACTAATTTTTGAATTATCCCTTAAACCATCCAGTTAAGCAGACAAATTTGCTTGCTTAAATTTTATAAATTCATGTCTGATCTATTTTTGTTAAAAATAAAAATATTATATAATATTTTTTTTTAAATAAAAACTATGATTATATATTATTTAAAACTTATGGTATTAATAGATGCAAACTTATGACATCACCTAGTTACGTCCTATATAAAAAATCAGTTTATAAAATAAAACGCAATTGAGCCGTAACTAATGACGCAAATAAGTTTGCGGTACTTATACATGTTTCAAGATATGGTTTTTTGTATAAGATATCCGTTATTCTGAATTAAGAGAAACGAAGCACTGAATGCTAAAGCATGATCAAAGCGTATACAACACAATGCAAGCACAGACATAAGATCATATGGAAAATTGGTTTAGATTCGCAAAACCTTTATTGTAATGTTAATACATATCGGGTAGGTAATACTCTAAGAAATCATACACATATAGGGGGTTATATATTAAAACAGCCCATTTTTACAATTTTTTTTAAAAAAACTTTTTATTTGATTTTTGTATAGATATATATTCAACACAAAAGTTTTTCATAAGTAATAAGGGCTAATTGTATAGTAAAAAGATCCATAAAATGGTTTTGAAGTAAATAATTTTATATGTATTACTATTTGTTGACATCATTTAAATCCGATTTACTCAGTGATTTACATGTAAAAATAGGCTGTCCAAAAATAATCCTCAACTTGGTAGATTCAGAACTAATGAAGGTAAAGGACATTTAAATTATTATTTGTTCTTCTTTCCTTATTAACAAATACTTTAATTTTATCCAACGTAGTTTTTCGCGGATTTCTTTTACGATAATAAAAATCACGCAAGCAGCTACTACTTAGACCAATCTCATCAGTTAATGCCTCAAGTAATGGAGTAAATTTAGGTCCCTTTTGTATTTTCTGATCGATGATTGCATTAAAGGCATTCTGGAGGGTTTCTTTTTCTGAATATTTTGTGTTTGTAAGATTATTTGTTAAAGGCAAATTTGAACCTTATAGTAAGAAATAAAATGATAAAAATTAGTTAAACATATGAGTCGGAAACGATTATAATTACATGACATACTTTTAGAAACATGCGCCCGTCTGTCTTCATCTTTACGTATTTGATTATGTTCATTATCTCTCTTGATTTGATCGTTTTCTTTTTTGCTTTGATCATTTTCCCTTTTGATTCGTTCGTTTTCCCTTTTGATTCGTTCGTTTTCTCTTTTGATTCGCTCGTTTTCTTTTTTGATTTGTTCGTTCTCTCTTTTAGTTTGCTCATTTTCTCTTTTGACTTGCTCATTTTCTCTTTTTATTTTTTCATATTCTCTTTTAATTTGAACAAGTAAAACAAACAAGCATGCAAAGAATAAAAAAAACTTAATATTTTCCAAAAAAAAGTTTTGTAAGTTTTGGATTGTCTCCAAATTTAAATGGAGATTATCGTAGATTGGTATTAAAATTAAGAATATAATGTAACAAAGATCATTGTATATATTGAAACTAATAAACATTTTATTATAGTAAATTTGTACGTAGTGATAAAGGTGTTTTTGATTTTGATTTTGATTTATTTGATGATTCAAATCTCTAGTGACCCCTTTTATAGCGGAATAATGAAATCCGCTTTGTAGATCAGTGATGATCATAACGGATTTCTTTGTTTCATAATTGAATAGATTACATCATTAATGGATTGGATTTAGGCCTTTGTACTACCGGTAGTACACTTTATAAAACTTATACAGAACCGAAAATATAATC